ATAGCTACATTTATTCAGGGTTCAACTTTGCGGGAAAATTGGGCCCTTAACGACGATAACTATTAAACAAATATTTTTGGGCTTTAACCCACCTAATTGGGCCTTTAACGAATTCGATCCAATCCCGTCTAGATAGAATATTCAAACGACGCCGTCTTTGACCAATTGTTTTCCTTTTGTGTAAACTAATGTCTTTTAAAAAATAAAATACAGTAGAAATATAGAAAAATAGGGTATCTTTTTTTTTTAAAAGGTTTGTTTAAACGTTAGGGTTAAGAAATTATTTTTTTTTAGAACTTTGAATTTATGTTTAGTTTTCAAATTATATATACTTGGTCTTTTCATTTGAAGAGATATTAGTACGGGTTAGAAATCTGAAACTTCTCAAATTAAAAAAGGAAAAAAAGTTATACTTTTGGAACAAATATAGAAGCTATACGAAATTATCTTGATAAGGAAGAAAAGCATTATCAACTCATTGAAACGTGCGAGTACCGAGTGTGGTGGAGGAAACACTAGATTCACTACTCTCTTTATTAAAGGGATATTAAGAGGAGATTATTATTAGTTACACGTGATTTAGGTGAATTATTCAGACGGTGAATTTACAACAACAAAAAAACGTACTCAAAATCTGGTTGGAAATTATCTTTGAAATAGTATAAAACATCATCATATTTTAAATTTATTGAGATAGATTTATTCTGTTGTTTTTCATATTCTATTTCTCTACATCCGATTCACATTTATTCTACTAATCTTTTCATGCTTTTACCATTAAGAACCTTAAAAGTGGTATTTGATAGAATTAGATTTAATAATATGCAAAGGATTTTGGAACATAAAATCGTATTTAGTTCACACAAAAAGATTTGCTTGTTTGGTGTTCAAACGTTAACAAGAATAATGGAAGTACGTGCAAGAAAACAAAAAAAAGATGTTAGACGCTTTAAATAAAGTGTGATTTGGACCATAAATAACCATGGAAGGTGATTTACAAGAGATGAGACACACAACTAGGAATAAATTAGGCGATGCTTATTGTTACTACTGTTTTAGATGATTGCTATCAACTATCATATACAGAATCCAAATTTGATTAATAATTAAATTTATTTACAAATTGATTCATCGGTCCCTTATAGTTGATAATACTAAGCAAACCCAATTAATTAAACCAGCTTTTTTCTTCATTCGATATTTGGTCTAAAGGTAGGACGACGACGGTACCATCTGAAGCACGATAGCTGTGTCCTTTCTATTTGCATAAAAGCTATATTCTTAGGATCCGAAGATGAAAGTGAACTATCATACAAATACAACACCCCGAACAAACAGAAAAATATAAAGATTTATATATGAAGAATAAATATTTTACACATACAAACCCTTATGAAATCCAAATGATTCAATTTTAGTTTTCTAAATAATCAAGAGTACTATATGTATCATATATAGTTCAAATAGGCAAAATACACACCACTTTTTTTTTTTTTAAAATGTTAAATAATACGTACGTACTAGACCGAAACATATAGATTGTTTGTGCTAGTGACGTCGATATCTCACAATTTTGGTCTAAATCCGTATTTTGTTTGTGATGTGATAATTAATATGGGCAATTACAAAATTGCCATTTTTTGTGTGCACATTTGCAAGAATGCCACTTAGGCGTGCCCATTTGCAAAAATGCCACTAATTATAGATTTATAAAACCTATATCTTAAAATTCTAAACCCTAAAAAATGGTTTGACTCCTAAAACCCCATAAACCCTCATAACTAAACCCTAATAGAACATAATTAACCCAAACATAAATGATATAAAGAAAAAATAATTTTGAAAAAGTGGCATTTTGTAAAGATTACAAAAGTGTGACATTTTTGTAAAGTAGCACTTAAAAAATGGCATTTTTTGAAATTTCTCTAATTAATATTTAGTGGATTTTTATATATTAACAATCAATGGTTCCTCATGAGATACATATCTACACTCAATGATTAAACATGATTCATTTAACAAGAAAATTCCGAACAAAAAAAATGTTGTGTAATTTATATATATGCACATAAATATGTGAAAATGATTATTATATAAAAAGTTTTTCTTTCCTCTATTATTATCCTCTTCTCTTATTTGTAGGTATTGGTTTTATATTGTGAAGTGGTGGTCGCTTTCTATTTGAATAATGCGTGTGCATATATTACATTCAAACTTCAGATAATGAAGATGGTCATATATATCTCCAAAGTATCAATTCATCAAATCAGCTTTGATCTTAAGCTGTTCCATTTATTTTCTATCTTTAACCAATTTAATTTATATACTGCAATTCTCTTAATCCCATATTACAATTGTAGACCCATATGTTCCTTAATTATATTTAAAACATTCTTAATCGTTCTTTTGTACATTTTGATTTTATATATAGTGTACTTTACGCTCTCAACATTATATAAAATTATAAACATTACATATATGGAAATATTAATCTGTGGAGACGACTTGAGAAGTGGAATAATTTATTTCTGGATTCTCATGGTAGTGATTTAAAAAAAAAATGATAGAGAGGCTTTTGTGACAAAAATAAGATATTGACAGCGATATTGATGGCTCATGACCGTAACAAGTTAAAGAACACAAAAACGAAATATATAAATTTCCCTTGTAAGATCGAAAAAATGTTTAGATAATATGCCTGATCTTGAAACATTTCCAAAGACATTTAAAATAAAAAGAAGCTTTTGGTTGTAATAGTTGTGGAGTTAAAATAAGTTTATTGTGTAGATACATCATACATGTGTTATAGATTTGAACACTAAACGTGAAATAAAACTCTCGTTTACTATATAGTGTTGATGGATGAGGATGACACAGTTCGTGCTTTTGTTCATTTTAATAGTTATCAGATCGTATCGATAATAAGATCGTGAATGTAGACTCTAGATATTCATCTTTTCAAATTTGGTTATGGTTATTAGAATAACAAAAGGTACGAAAGTGAAATCTCGAAGGATGAGAGGGAATGATTTATAACTTAAAGGTAACAAGCATTGACTCTATGCACACAATGTCACAAATCACAATCACATCATTTTATTTTTAGAGAAATTTAAAAAAATACCACTTTTCAAGTACCACGTTACAAAAATGACACATTTTTGAAATCTTTACAAAAATGCCACTTTTTCAAAATTATTTTTTTTATATTATTTATGTTTAGATTAATTATGTTCTATTAGGGTTTAGTTTTGAGTGTTTAGGGGGTTTTAGGTGTCAAAACATTTTTTAAGGTTTAGAATTTTAAGATATAAGCTTTATAAATCTATAATTAGTGGCATTTTTGTAAATAGATACCTTTAAGTGGCATTATTGCAAATATGCACACAAAAAGTGATATTTTTGTAATTGCCATTTTTTTATTCTTTTAGATTAAATTGAATACGTTTTATTTTTATTCTTTTAGATTAAACTGAGGTTGGTTAAAACATTACTTTCGAATTTTATATGATATCTATAAATGAACTTTTCCGATGCAAATAAATGTAAAATCACAAATAAATTGAATACAATTAGTAAAACGTATAAATCTGCTGATTGTGTTCCATTTTTTTATTTTTTTTTACTACATAATTTTATCTGGACTATTTAGATTATGTGAAATCGGGTCGGTGTTTTAATATGTGATGAGTTTACGAAAACATATTATTGTTTATTTTCGAGAGTAGTCAATTAGTGTTTGTTTTGAAATGTTTGTGATCGGATACCTAATGGTAATTTTTAAAAAATAATTAGCAAAAGTTATAAAAGATAGTAAAAATCGCATTTGCTAAATTGAAAATTTTAAATAGTAAACTAATTGCATGGATATAGCCATATAGGGCTTTATTTAGGATAACTTTGAGTCAAAAACGTCAAAATCCTCGCAACAAGGATTGGGTCAAACTCATTGACCGGTCAAACCAATTTCCTCCTACGTGGGACCCATTTCCACGTCAACACCATAACACCAACGTGGCATGTAGTAATTGGTCAGGTCGTTTGTAGAGGAGAAAACATCTGGCATATTTTATGCCTTATTACATGAAAATAAACATTTTCATACACTAATATTAAATTATTTTACAAAAAACGTATCAGAT